CCCCCCCCCCCCCCCCGCCCCCATCTCTCCGGCCCCCCGGCGCCGTCGCCTACCGACTGAGGCCGGGCTTCCTTCGCGAACCCCATGGGATTGGATGCGCGGCGTGGGGAATGCCCATAGCTGCCGGGACATACCACACCGGCCGGGGGCCCAAGCGACCGTCTCTGCAGGGCATGCGGCCACCTTTCGAGCCGCAGGGCCGAAGAGGAACCGGGGGGGAGGGGGCGTGGCATGGGGCCGGGAGTAGGATATGCCGGGCGGGCAGAGGGCGCGGGGGCCGGTGGTCGACAAGGGAAGGCCTCAGCCGTCGGCTGGAGCCGGGCCGGTCCGGGGCCGATCGCCCAGCGGGCCAGGCCTTGTCCAGACTTGCCCGGACCGGGTAGCGGGCCGCTTCCCTCGGCGACCGGCTCTCCAACCAGCCGGCGACAAAATCGGCACACCAAGCACCCCCTCTGAGACGCCGACGCCCCCCTTCCCCCGCCCGCCCACCGCCCGGGGCCCCACCGTGCGCCCCCTATTTTGGATGAGCATTCCGCTGATCCCCCCGTCCCCCCCTCCGCCCGCTCTCCCCTCGCTCCCAAGAAGCGACTGCTCCGCAGAGGCCGACGACGGGGCCCCGCGACCGGCGCGTGCCTTGCCTCCGGCAGGCTCTTTTCCGCCAGGCCCCCGGAGAATCCCGGGTTTGTGGGGGGGGGGGGGGGACCCGACGGGCGGCGAGCCGGCCCGGCGGCATGCGCCAGGACTGTGGTGAGTCTGCCGACCCCTCGTCCGCCTCCCGCGCCCCCTCGCCCCCCCGCGGCTCGACGGGCCGAGTGTGCCAGGCCAATTGTTATTGTTTGGAAAACATTCAGGGGAGCCCGCGATCCCGGCGGTGCGCGGACCGGACGCCCCGGCTGCGGGAACGGGCATGCTGCTGCTGCTGCTGCTGCTGCTGCTAAGTCCGCAGAGGCCCGGTGACGGGAACACCGCCGGCCGGGTCGGGGGCGGTGATCGCCGGGACGCGGCCGCCCCAGGTTATGGGAGCTTTTGTGAGGCGGGGGCGTCGCGGGCACTGTCCCGCAAGGCCCCCCCTGGTGGGCGGGAGGTGCATCTCGCAAGCAGGGCCGGCAGGGGGGGGGGGG